TTTCTGTTTCCTTTTTGGTAGCATCTCTGAGATCCTTCTCTAACCGTAAGCGGGTCAACTCCACCTTCTGGCGTTCTATCTCCTCCCTAGTGGGCAAGGGTTGTTGGCTGTACTGCGAGCCCGCTATCTGACTTGAAGAAGTGCCTACACTCATCCCGCTGGAAGTAGCCTGTGAACTAGACGGCATGCCTAATGTCTGCTGACCCTCACAAACGGGGACCCCCATTTTCAGGCCCTGGGTAACGAGTCCAAAACTGAAATTAGGGTTTATGGTCTCCACTCTAGGAATTGGTGGCAAGTTTGATTAAAATGACCCTTTGGTTTTCATATAAATGGCATGGCAAGTGGTATGAAAATTAGGGTCTCCGTTAACCTTCTCGGGACCCCCATTTTCAGGCCCTGGGTAACGAGTCCAAAACTGAAATTAGTAAAATTACTAGATTAGGGTTTTGGGGTCAAATTTTATGTTTTTTTTTTTTTTTTTTTTGCCTGTTCTTGTTTTGGTTCAAGGTTGGTGTGTGCCAAATTTTGTGTCATTTGGAGAATTGGAATTTCCTCTGTTAAGATTTCTGAAATTTCTCAAGATTTCTGAAATTGAGATGTTGGGGAAATTTCATGAAAATGCACTTTTGCCTTGCTGTTTTATATGTTTTTTATTATTTTCTTTTTGATGTTTTTTTGCAGTTAGTTAGTATGGTCTCCACTCTAGGAATTGGTGGCAAGTTTGATTAAAATGACCCTTGGTTTTCATATAGATGGCATGGCAAGTGGTCTGAAAATTAGGGTCTCCGTTAACCTTCTCGCCCCTTGCTGGGGCCTACGGCAGCATGTGTCTGACCGAGTCGAAAATAAATAATTATTCGGCAAGTCACCCAGGCTACCGATCAAATGGTGTCAACAGAATATACACAGTCTCTGCAAATGATCTAGTCCTACTTTGATCGGTTCTCGAACAGCAGCACTAAACAGAACTGGAAATGGTAGACTACTACAGCTCTACTCAAATGCTGCCTTTCAGGCGCTAGCAGTCGGTCACACCTCAACTAATAAAAATAAAAATAAATTTTTTGCGCAGATGTATGCAGAAATGGAAATAATCATGTTTATATTCGAGTCCCAATTGGAACCTTCCCTTCCCTGTATCCAACGTTTGTGTTTGCATCATCGAGCAGCGGTGTCTATGGTGTGCACAACGGCCCACCCCTGTGCCGAGGTAATGTGCAAGCCAGCCTGGCCCGTACTATTTTATCCTCGCATATAGTGCGAGTCGGTTTCCCCGCCGGAGTATCTTTAACGACGGTCCGGTCACGTTGATCCCCCTCAGGCTGACTCACCCGACTTCCCTCTACAGCGCAGCAAGAGCTCAAAGGGCAATGCAGCAAAGCCTGCGTGCTCTACTCCCATGGGTTGGAATGGTGACCGTGACCCATGCTTCGTCCAGGGCCCTTCAGAGGCATCACCCTCTCCTGCCAGATGCGCCACCAGGAAGAACGTCGACTCTCAAGGTAGAGCGCTCACGACTCTTGAACTAGAAGAGGACACTCAAGTTGAAACTCTCTTCCTCACAGTAAGAAGAGATTGAGATGGAAAGACAAGGTAAGGGAACAAAGTACCTGAAGATAGCTGCCCCCAACCACAGATTTCTCACCAATTGAGCCGACGTGCATTTTGATGACCAGTTATAGCCTCAGTACCACACACAATGCAACGGAGTGCCACCTCAGCCAAAATCCAATGTCAGCATGCTCTTATCATTCCACATATGTCCACTGTCGCCACAGCTCCCACGCTGTCACCACAACCTTCATCAGCGCACCAAGTAACAAAGTCGTCAGCGCCGGTAACGGCAATATCGAACCAGCTCTGATACCAAATTGATAAGGAACATGAGCGAGAGTGATAGACAGAAATACAAATTGCAAAATCACGCTGTAGTCCACATAGTCATGTACAAAGCAGAGAGCACAATGGACCAAGATACCATCCAAATAAGAGCAATACAATGAACCCAAATGTCAATGTCGACGCTCTCTGGTGACACCAGCATAGTATCCAATGTCGCTCCTCTTGATTGGCTCTCAGCGCCCAGCCTACACTAGTCAGCCTATCTAGCCTATCTACATTCATGCAACAGGATCACATCGAATGTACGTGACGTCAACGCCAATGCAGACTGCCACCTTACTCCAGGTATGTGTCTCACACCTCTCCTCATCACCCCTGACTCCCACTGCATGCGCCTCCTACCCGAAGACCACCATTGCCATCACCCGCCACCGCACGCGCAGCCTAGCTATAGCCGCCGTCTGCCCGCTGCCACCACAGCTCCCCTCTCACCTCGTGCGCCCATGTGCGCCTCCAGCCTGCCTGCTAGCGCAGCTATCGCAAGCCAAAGCAGCAGTGTGGCTGCAATGCCTGCCCAGGCCAGAATGCCGTGCCCCTGGGCACTTACTTTCCTTTATGGAAAGTGAGCCCTGCTGCTGGCTTGTCTGGGCCTGGCGTGTAGGAGCCCAGTAACTTCAGGTTGGCCCGAAGTGTCTGCGTCCAGGGCCCCTTCAGGCAGTTGCCTGGGCCCGCAGCATCCAAGCTGCACCATCCACAAGGCTCCAAGTGTTCCGCAATCCCATCGGCTTGTGGCATGTGTGTGACGAAGGAGCTGCTTTCTCATTGGTCCGCAGCCGCTAGGTGACTTGTCGGCCTCTGACTGTGTGCGCCCAGAGCCTCAACCGAATGAGCCCTGGGTGCAACTGTACGATGCAGCTGCCAGGGAAGGCTCACGTTGCTCTGTAACCAACTGGTGTGCTGCAACTGTCTGATACCCCACTTACGAAAAATGGCAAAAATAGGCCTCACGCGATTATACAGGCCCACTGTTACATGCTGCACCTGCAACAGGCTGCACGGGCCATTTCCAGGCCCGTGACGTTTTCAGGCCAAAAGCCTGAAAACAAGGGCCTACAGGCCCTGTGTCGTTTCAGCCTGAAAGCCTGAAAACAAGGRCCTACAGGCCCTGTGTTGTTTCAGGCTAAATCAGGGCCTTTCCGGCCCTGAGTGTTTTCAGCCTGAAACTGAGGGCCATTTCCGGGCCCTCACGAGTTCGGTCTGCCCCGAAACTCAGGCACCAGACCAGGGTTTTAGCTCAGGCCATTTCTGGCCTATTTTCAAGACAACCTTTATTTGAGCTTCAACCCCAGGGTCTGGCACGTTGAGGCATTGGCAAGAGCAGCCTCCCAAACGGGCCAGCACTATATAGGACTGACCCGCCCTGCAGGCCGCAGGTAGTTCTTAGGTACTTCCCAGGCACTTCACGTGCACTTCAGGAGGTACGAGGTAGTCTTCAGGATTCGGCAGCAGCACTCTGGACGAGCACTGCAGGAGTAGTAGTAGCGTTAGCAGTAGTCTTCAGCGTTGGGCGCTAGTAGCGTTAGCTGTAGTCTTCAGCGCTCGGCGCCATAGCTAGAGTAGTACTATAGGGAGAGAGATTGGGCGGAGGCCAGAGGGACTGACCTGCAGCGCCATCGCTCCAACTTCGTCTTCAAGGTACCTGCAGCACTGCGCCCCCTTCACAGGTTAGTACCTGGCATATGAGAGAGAGAGTTCTTCGTCTTCCTCTTCTCAGTCCACCATCTCCCTCTCACCCTCTCGACATCTGACTTCACTGCATCAGCAGACTATGAGAGAGAGAGAGAGAGAGAGAGAGAGAGAGAGAGAGAGAGAGAGAGAGAGAGAGAGAGAGATCTTGGTGACATTTGGATCCAGACTCGACATTGGACTCCAGACATTTTGATGAGGGACTATTTGGGACTTGTAATGAGACTTGGTGTTGACGACTTTCCCATCTCTCCCCTCCACTTCGTCTGATCCCCTCCTCTTCGTCTGTGCATGGCTGGACGTGGCGCCCCTTCCTGTGTATAGCGCCATGCCCCTTCACACCTTGTGGTGAGAATGATGTATGTTTAGTCTGCATTGCGACATTGATTGGGCTCGTCATTAGTATTCTAGCCTTCTGCTGCGCTATCTTGTACTACGTGAAAGAGGTCAGTCCCGGTCAGGTCAGGACTTGTATCTAAATCTTCTACTGCGATATAAAAGTTAATAAAACACCATTGTTGTATGCATCAGGATGTACACTGCTTGTTGAGATTTCACTAGCACTGCATTGTCCATTCAGTCCTTTTTGTCACATTGCGGATCCTCGGTTTATTATGTACATCGCCCATCTGGGCATGTAACAGTTGGTATCGGACCACCGCACGTGAATCAGGACAACCTGATCTGACACATGTGCGGGAACTAGGTAGCTGATCAGTTTTGATTGATTGATTAGAGCACACTAGTTAGCCCCCAAAATCACGATTTTGACCTCACTGCCAAAAATCGAAAATTTAAATTTTTTCTTTTCTTAGATTTTGTTTTCTCACTATTTCTGTTGTGAAAAATCGCAATAGCGCAACATCTAAAATTTCCGTTTTTGTTTTTTCTGCTGAAAATCCAAAATTTCGTTGTTGAAAATCCGAAATACCTTCTTTTTCAAAAATTTCGATTTCCTGTTGCAAATTCCCGTTATTTGGAAATCCGGAATATTTTTATTCCGAAATCCGTTTTTTTGAAAACGGTACGGGAATCCCTCTTGCAGTGATCATTCTCCAACTGCGCGTACTCTCATCTGTGTAATTCCGAATTTTTTTTTGTACTTCATTTTCGGAATTCGTTTATCAGAAAATCAATTGCGGTCTGAAAGTTTGAAATTGTTTTCTCATTGATAATTTCGCACCTCAAGGGAATTGGGGGGCCTACTGAACTTGCAAACGAGTATTTTTTTCTTTTTTCTCGAATTTTTTAGCAAAGTTCAAACTTTTTTTTTTTTTTTATTAGTGGCTCCTTATCTGGGCGATTTATGCCACCCCTCCCCACCTATATTGTTGCCCTTTCTGGTCTTCCCTATCTGCCTCCGGGTACCCCCTGTGGCGGCATTGGTGAGTTGCCACGTCAGTAGGCCACGTCAGCAGGACATGGCAGCAGTGTCACGTCAGCAACCAGTCACCACAGCAGCAGGTCACGTTAGTGCATGGTGCACACCCGCTCAAAGACAAGCGACATGGATCAGCAGCCAGGCGAGACTACCGAGGCCTATGAGGCCCACATGCTGGACGTGGTAGCAGAATTCAAGCAACGGGCAGTTGCGGCAACATCCGCACGTAAGAAGGAAGATGAGGAAGCAGAGGAACAGCGTCGCCTCGCTGAACAGCAGCGACAGGCGGACGCTGAGGCACCGAGGAAGGCCGCAGACAACCGCCGTCGACAACGCCGAGACAAACTCCTCGAATGCGAGGGGGATATCGAGGTGATCGCCGACGAATGGGCAGTGGCTGCTGAAGAGGAGGGTGCCCCCTCTGCTGTGCGTGGCCTTGCAGCCACAATCGAACATGTGAGGGACTTGGTCGCCACCTGTGCCGCACAGCAAGAGGACATCCTCTGCGTGGACACCCTGGTCTGGAAGGAGATTCTAATTATTGATGAACTGCTTGACCGGGTACGTTGGCTGGAACAGCAGCTTGCAACAGCCACCCCCGCCGGACCCTCCAACTTGACGGACCGCGTCAACGTCTAAATCGACGTCGAGACTCTCAAGGACGGCGCTCTAACGACAAATCAGCGGATTGACCAGCAGATTTGCGCCGCCGCAGCCAGTCCGACAACAGTTGGTCAATGGCCTGCTGTTCCTTGAGAAGGCCGGGAATAAATGATTGTGTGCCTAATCGGGAGTTTTTGCGTAGTTTATTTTTAGGAGAGTGTCATGATGCCACAGGACATTTTGGATACAAGAAGACTGCAGCTAACTTGCTGCAGCAGTTCTGGTGGCCCACGATGATGAAAGACGCCAAGCTATACGTGGAGACTTGTCAGGTATGTCAGAGAGACAAGCCACGTACACAGCCCCCCCCTGGGCTTCTCAAGCCCCTTCCAATACCAGAAAGGCCTGGTGAGAGCCTGTCCATGGATTTCATGGACACGCTGGTCACCAGCGAGAGTGGAATGAGATATGTCTTTGTCATTGTGGATAGGTTTAGCAAGTATGCTAGGCTAGTCGCAATGCCGGCAACAGACAAGACTGAGTACATGATCAAGCTATTAAAAAAAACTGGGTCAGGGATTTTGGTCTGCCAAAGTCTATCATTAGTGATCGGGATGTGCGGTTCACCAGTGAACTGTGGAAGGCCGCAGCTGCAGAACAGGGGACACAGCTGCAGATGACCTCTGGCAACCACCTGGAGGCAAACGGACAAGCAGAGCAGCTGAACCGTGCTGTTCAAAACCTGCTGAGGCATTACATCAAGCCCAATCAGGTGGACTGGGATGAGAAACTTGCTCTCATGGCGAGTTTGTATAACAGCGCTGTGCACAGCGCAACAGGGGTGAGCCCTAACAGTCTGCTGCTAACCTTCAAACCTAGACTGCCCTTAGATTTCCTACTCCCTGAGAGCCAGCCTTCTGCTGCACCAGGCACCTTGGAGTTTGCATATCGATATGAGCGCCTGATGCAGCAAGCTGTCGAGCAGATGCACAGGGTGCAGGTGGCGATGATAGAGTCTGAGAACAAACACCGCCGCCCATCTACATTCCAGGTAGGGGACAGAGTCTGGGTCAAGTCCTCAGATCTGGGACAAGAGCACGGGGTATCCCGCAAGCTCATGCCACAGTACTTTGGACCCTGGGAGGTTCTAGACATCGTTGGGGATGATCCGGATGGGCCGTCATACGTAATTCAGATCCCTGGTCACCTTCGCACTTACCCCGTCTTTCACACCTCCAAACTTGCACCTTTCGAGGAAACTGATCAGTTTCCCTCGAGACGCTCAATGCTGCCCCCAACCATGGATGGAGAGGTCGACATCGATGACATCGTCGACCACAGGGAAATGCCAGTTCCAAGACCTTCAGGTAGAGGACGTCCTCCGAAGCCGAAGCTGCAGTACCGCGTTCGGTTCAGACATCATACTGATCCCAAGGAGGATAGATGGTTTACTCGGGAGGAACTGATGCAGACCGCCCCACAGGTTGTCGCCCACTACGAGAAGTTGCTGCAGAAAGGAAAGCGCCAGATTGAGTAATGGAACTTCTCAGAGGACTGTCAAAGTATGGAGGAGGGAATGTGAGGCTCAAGGCCTCGATAAGCCCTACTGGGCCCTCTTTTCAGTACATTCGGCCGCCCTAAGCGAAGGCAGGCCCGACCGAGGCCTATTTTGGGGTCTCCACGCTACTGGGGAAATTCAGGCAGTTGCGCAGTGCCAGATGGTTGAAAGGGCCCAGGCCCTGGTTACCTTTATCAAATGCGGCAGTTGGGCACGGGTAACTGTCACAGGCCCTGGGCCTGATTCGTTCAGACTGGGGCTGAGCCTCCTGGGGCCTACCGGAAGCTTCTGGGCCGAGGCCCAGCGCAGCCTTCCATATAGGAAAGGTCCTGCCCCCGCATTCGGCATTCGGGCCCTGGCTGCATGCTGTGCAAGCGCTGCTGCGCTAAACGCTGGCCAGGCTCACACGCTCACGGGCGAGCAGGGAGAGGCAGGCAGCCGTAGCTGAGCTGCGCTGCATAGCTGGATGGGGCGCATGGTGGTCCTTGGGTGCACGTGGCATCTGTGAGTGGGGGATCGAGGTTGTGAGTGATACAAGAGACATACCTAGTGCTTGAGACGAACGGCATTGGCCGAGATCTGCTCGTACTTCAGGGAGCTGTTGATGTCACCAGCGGCATTGTAGATAGGCTAGATAGGATCTGCCACTTGTAGTCTGGGCGCAGGGCGCCAGATAGGATGTTCGACATTGGTTCATTGTTGATGATGATGAGACTATATCAACATTGTCTCTTGTGAGATTTTGCTGTGTTCTTATTTGGTGGAACTCGTGTTGCATTGCTGCTTTTGGTTCGAGGTCACGACTATCTGGTCTCATGTGTATGATGCTGCTTGGTTTCTGAAGTTCGCTATCGCTCATTTTCCTTGCAGTAGCATCTAGTTTCAAACCCAACTCAGTCCTTCGGGACATCCATTAAAATTGGAACGGTACAAAGAAGATTAGCATGGCCCCTGCGCTTTCAAGGATGACACGCGTAAATCGAGAAATGGTCCAAAATTTATCCAAAAAAAAAAAAAAAAAAAAAAAAAAAAGAGTTTCAAACTCAACTCTGTAGTTCAGCAGTTCATTCAACAGTTCGTTGGTGTACCAACTGACCTAGGCCCATTGGTGGGTAGGACCTTTTCGGCTGGTAGTAGTTTTCGGCTTTTCTATTGCCAGGTAGTAGCTCCTCAAATGTGAAGAGCTGAGGCAAGCAGTACCTCCTCAAATGTGAAGAGCTGAGGCAAGTGGTAGCTCCTCAAATGTGAAGAGTTTAGGCTTTTCTTTTGGCAGGCTTAGGCAAGTAGTAGCTCCTCAAATGTGAAAAGTTGAGGAAGAAACCTCCATCAGAACTCATTCAGTTTTTTTGCATGCTTGGTAGGACTACCGTCTTCACCCGAATAGAACGTCCGGTCATTATCGATGCATATGGACTGAAAGTTGCCCGAAATACAGCTATAATGACGGGGCGATCTATTGGGGTGAAGATGGTAGAGGCGTGCTATTTTCAGCAATGCTTGAGGGGGGAGAGAGAGAGAGAGAGAGAGAGAGAGAGAGAGAGAGAGAGAGAGAGAGAGAGAGAGAGAGAGAGAGAGAGAGAGAGAAGCCATAGCCAGTGAGAACTTGCAGTTCACCAGACGGTGTCTTGAGCCGATGGTTGCATGTTGCACAGCAAGGCAGGGCAGTCGATTTTACGTCACCTTTTTTTTTTGGATAAATTAAAATCTGTGTATCGATTGTCCCTTTCACGACAGGTGGTGGTCCCCATTTTGAGTTCGTCAATTGGGTGTCTCCAACCACGCGGTTGGATAAATAAAATAAGTCGTGTGCAGCTCGCTGCGGACTACTGCAGCGTCTCCTTCCCTATCGCATCTGAGAGAACAAACAGTGAGAAGGAGCAATTCATTTGGTAGTGTCGCGGTCGCCCATAAAATTAAGAAAGCCATTTGGTTTCGCTAACTATTTAATTTGGGTGTGATTGTTCAGTTCTGGTTTTCTGTGGCGTTGCAATCAAGTCTGATCACCACCTCTCCTAGCATGGACATTGGGTTATTAAAAAAAAAAAAAAAAAAAAAAAAAAAAAAAAAAAACTGATCTCATTTCAATGGAGTGTGTAAGTGAGGCGATGGACGAAAGTAGCTGAGATTCTGGAAAAATCCGTAACAACGTCTGTTGAAGAACGAACAATGCATAGTAAATCCAATGTATGTCAACGCCGTCAAGTATTTTTTCTATTTTCTTCTTTATTATTTTGATGCGTTCGCTATTGCTGTCGCCTGTCGGGGAAAGCAAGGTGGAGCTTGACGAGCATGGTACGTGATTGATGTTTTCTTGCTTTGTGTATGTTGGCCCTTTGTGAGCAGAGTGTGACAGATGTTTTGACAGGGAGGCAAGCTGATGCTCCTGCGGTTTCATCCAAAGCCGCGATCGAGCCCATAGATACCCCAAATATCGATATGTTATTCCTCAGTCCATGGATGGGTAGTACGGATAGCAGTGGGGATGAAACAAGGAGTGAACGGCAGAGTCTGTCTCCGCTGGGTTCGTCAGGCGCGTCAGAAGGCCAGGGGCGAAGGCTACCATCGCAGGGTTCTGAGACTAGCATGTTGTCCAGGTTGCCCTCACTGTCCAAGTTGCCCTCATTGCCAAAAGAGCCGAGACGCTCTATGCCCGGTGGGTTTTCGTATTTCAGTTTTCTTTCTAGGCCAAGAAGTGGCTCATCAACAAGTCTTCAAGCTGAAGAAAAAGCGCAAGAAAAAATCAAGTCTGACGAGGAGTTGCATGCGGAATACTACAGCGAAAGCGTGATCAGCAGCTACGACGCCATTGTGATCCCGTCCCGCACTTGCGTCCTCCGGGTCATTCAGCACACCGTGCAAGTTGGGGAGAAACGTCCGCCCGCTTGGGTTGCCGACTGGGAAGATGTGCCGTGGCAGAGTGACCTGCGTCTGCCAGCATGGCATGGTGACTGGGAAGACATTCCGCGTCAAGGTGATCTGCATCCGCCGGCATGGGACGGAGACTGGGACGACGTGTCATGGAGAGCTGAGTACACTCACTCCACCTTTCGCCATCATTACAGAAGCGAGCACGAGTCCGGGTGTCAGTGGTCCGACATGGACGTGCAGCCACAGATAGAGGAACTTGCTTCTGCAGGGTTTGAGCAGCCTGCCGCGTCCGCATGGTTGCCTGCGAACCAAGCGAACCGATGCGAAATACATGAAGTAGAGGATACTCGTATGCAGGGAAGTCCGTTGATCGTAGAGCAGGGCGACGACGACGGCAACGACGACAATTGCATAGCACTTACAGGAAACAGGCACACAACATTGCCGCGGGCGGTGAAAACGTTTGGAAAGGAAAGGAGCATTCTTCTCCAGGTCCCCAGTGAAGAGAGCAACGGCTCTTTGCAGAGGAAAGCCAGGCGCGCAGAGGCGGTTATCCGGTGCGTACACACCCCTACTCCATCAATCGCCACACAATCTGAGTATAGCAATGTTACGGCGAAGACGCATCGCAGGGGACTGACGCATAGGAAGGTCACTGCTCAGGAGGAGAAGATAGTGGCAGATCAGTACGGCAGCGATAAGAACAAGGTGGAGGGGATCAGCAGCAACAGGGCTAAGGACGCTGTTTGTACCCATGCGAAGAGGGTAAGGAATTCGATGGATGATGTGTCTGCCGCAAAAGGAAGCATCCGTAAACATGCTCATAGGGCTGGAAAGCATGAAATGCAGAGCTCGCTGACGAGTGCTGAACCAGCAATGCGGAGCTCGCTGACAAGTGTCGAACCGACACCGGCAATGCGGAGCTCGCTGACAAGTGCCGAACCAACACCGGCAATGCGGAGCTCGCCGACGAGAGTGGAACCGGCAATGCTGATGAGAGACCGGCACTCAGAGCACTATGACGACGAGCTTTTGCGAAAGCGCAGTGGCGCCTCTGTAAGTAACAGGCAAGCCCAGGCTGTGAGGATGTCCCCCCAATCAGTGATAGCGTCAACCGCATTGCATGGGTCGTCTTCGAGCTTGTTAACAAAACAATCCTCGAAGAGTCGGAAACGGTCGTCATCGGGCAGATTGGGGTCAAGTGGCAGATCCTGGCTCGCCTCTGCATTCAGCGAATCATCAAGCTCAGATTCAGATACGTACGTCGCAAAAAGTGGCTGCAGAGTTTCGCCGGGAAGCCTCCAGCACAGTAATGCAGAGAGGAGAAAAGCAGAGAACTCACAGAAACGAAGTTGGTGCTCGTCTGAGAGATCTTCACTCAGAGATGTTCGACAGACGGATTTCAGTGACTCGCTGCTGACAACCAAGCGAGAGGAAACTCGATCATCGAAAAAGAAACCGATTCCCGATTTCTCCAAGGAACACGGTCCTCCTCCAAGTTCACAGTGGTGGGAAAGTGAGGACTGGACTGCTTTTCAGATGCTCCAAATTTTGTCAGATGATGTTGCTTCCCTCGCATTGGAACAGCGAACTCAGAAATATGGCTACCCTCCGTTAGATATCGCAGGGATGGCAGCTGAAGTTGCTGAGTGGACACGGAACCGCCTCCACGAGAAAATACTGAGTGAGGAGATATCTCCCATCAGGCATAAGCTCGGGAAATGTGACCACATCCTACGCATTCTTTGTTCTAGGCACAGCGGGAAGAAAGAAGTGAAGCAGGCCATGAACGATGCACAGTCTCTAGTATTGGCAGACGGGAGGTAAGACAACCTCTCTCTCTCTCTCTCTCTCTCTCTCTCTC